TAATTACCTAGTTTAACAATATGACTTACGATAGTTGATCATTAAAAAATTAAATAAATTTAATATTCACACCATTTTTATCCACAGCATATTTTAAGATAATCATTCTATTGTTTATTACAATTGTAATTTAATTTAATTTTGACGAGTGACCTAACTTCAACTAATGATTTTCTAATTAATATGGTGTAGAATCACAACAGTCCTCCAGCAGAAGTGTTGAGCGATGACAACGGTAACGCAGTTAACAATATCAACTTAATCAGTTGGCACGAGTCACCATTTCCCGTGGAAAATGTACCGAATTTGCTTATCAACATTGAAGATGAAGCTCAAGTTAAATCCGTATTACATGACAAGGAAACGTTCACGGACCCTTACGACTTCAATGTCGCCTTTATTGGTGCCGACGATTTCAAGGTCATTAAAGCACACAATCGAAGTATTAATGAGGGGAACTTGACTGTATTGGATGGTGAGTTTATGGTTGTTTCAAAACGAAATTAGGCACGTCCTGGCAATAAATCACTACTGAAAATCATTAGATAAAATCTTAAATTATAACTTTCAACAGAAAGGGGTGGGATTTTCAAAAAAGACAGCCACTTTCTATTGGCCATTTCTCGATTTCCATAATTATATTTTAATAGGCCCAAAATTTGCTCTCTCTTCCCCCTCCCCTCTTCCTCTCGTATAAATGTTTTGATGCACGGCTAAACATAGTTCAGTATTGCAAGTGCTTCCACGGTGATCCTTTCCTTTTCGAATCAGAAAAAGTACCATTTTTTCGTATTTTATAGACACGACGAATTTGAGACGCAAATTGATGTTACACAAAGGCACGATGACCAGGGACAGAGATATCGCACATCTTCAAGCTATTTTCAACCGTAAAGTCGATCCCCAGCAGGAGTATCGTGGCGAAGAGTTGGTGAAAAACTTCAGTCACATCCCAAGTAAATACGTTCTCGAAGTGTACGACAATCTGTGCCAAAGGGACTTTGATTGGGCAACTGAATACCTGATGCAGTTAAACTTCGAAGACGTTAATATGGCGATGTCGATGACCGAATCTGAGAAGGAAAAAACACTCATTGGTCTTGAGGAGAAAGTGATTAATTTGCCCGAGGATGGAAGTGAGTTTTTTTATTATTTAATTAAAAATTGTTCACTTTTTTATTTAACAACGCGCTTATTTTGCGCGTACACATTCTTTTATTATTCAAGATACAAAAATAATGCAAAATTTTTAAGCGTCTTGAACAACTTTTCACCAGTCTGAGAATTCCATTTCAGGCCAATCTTATAATTTTAAATTTTTATATTAGATTTATACTTTAAACAAAAAACAGAATACTTACTGGATATATAAATATATTCATATAGCAATTACATGTACTTATTATCTTAATATAATAGGCAGACTGTAAATAAACTTGAAGCAGGTAATAGTACATTACGATACTCGCTTCGCTCGGGTGTAAACGCCACACGAGACAAGAATATACTTTCCCGCACTTGTATCGTAATGTACTATTGTTAACGTTTTATATTATCGTTTACTTGCACTGGCCTTCAGATAAATTAATTATGAATGATTGATCGTTAATTCTCATAATTCGAAAGCAGTTGAGCTATCAAATTGTAAGAGATTTTTTAGTGAGTTGAGCTCGTTAAAAAATAGTACATTACGATACAAGTGCATAATATGTGTATTAATAATTAACATAATACATAATACATAACATGTGCCGTACCGTATTTTTTGATACGACGTGTGGAAAGTGCGATTTTCAACGCACGTTTTCTGTCGAGCGTACGGGAAAGCCGCACTTTGCGCACGGAGTGTCGAAAAATCATTATTATTCATAATTTATCGCTAATGACAATCTTCATCTTCAGCTGCACAAGAAGTCAAGCCAACACCGAAGCAATTTACAAACAGTTCTGAATCAACGACCAAAGTTCCACAAAAACAATCACGCAAATCTCGTAAGTATCGAGACAAAAACTTCAAGTCCCAGAAGTTAGAGGAGTTACAGCGCGAGTTACAAGAGAAATTCGTGCTAAGTAAAGATTCATACCCATCGCACACTTTACGTGTAAAACGTTGGAAGAATCGGGATTTTTCGCCAAAAAGGCAACCAGAGCAGAATCTTATAAGTTTCGATAATAACCAACCCAAACTTGACGAAATAACGAGATTTGAACATCCTGCTGCTATGGACAATGATCAAGAAACAACTTCCGAAGAAACAACTTCCGAGGAAGATTCTAGCGAAGAAATAATGGAGTTGAAACTCGGCTATGAATTTATTAGAACTCTCGAGGCTGAGTTTGGTAAGCCAACCTTTCCAAAATCAGATGGCTTGTTTCCCGTGATAAAGATCAGAAAGTCTATGGCACAGGAGCTATATGCCTTGTGGATTGACAGCATGCAGCAACAATTGTGGACTATGCAAAAGCAATTAGATGGGATGATCGCTAGAGGTAAGTTTTAATTAATAAGATACTTATATTTTTCAAAATAATTCATTTGGGTTAATATATTGTGGTAAATATTCAGATGCAGATTTCGCGAGAAAATTAGAAGCTGAACAAGATGAGGAAGTGCAAAAGGCTATAGCAATTAGTGAACCAGAAGTACCAAATTTTAAAGAAATCATGGACATGGAAATGGCTCTAGCAGTTTATCTAAAAAACCCGGTTAGTGATAAAGAAAAATACTTAAAGCTGTAATCCAGCATATAAAAATAAAAAATTTTTTTCAGAAAAAAGATTGCAAAAGTGCATCTCTCAAACAAATGGAAGTCACGTTAACGAGAGACACTTTGGTTGAAATGTTCCCCGACTGCGATCGAGATATGATAAATGACATTTACACGGCTCACAATTGCAATTTTAGTGAGACGGTAACAGTCATCAAAGAAAATTGTTTTACTACGTGTAAACTGACGATGGCTGATATACTGAAAAAGCGGAAACACCTTTTTGATGAGGTACAAAAGGAACGAGACTATCAAAAATCCCAACATAACGATAAGGTAATTTGACATTTTCAAAGATTGATAAATTTAAATTATTGAGTCAACTGATGTTTAATTATATGATTATAGGAAAGTAAAGATGTAGACGAAGCTCGTGGTGATATGTATGAATCATACCGATCTATGTCTTATGAAGATGCTATGAAAAAAGCTCGCGAATCAAGATCCGAAGCTCAATATCAGTTAATACTTCGAAATGAGAACTATAGAAAAGCAAATGAACATTACCGGAAAAAGAACCCACAAGTTGCTGCTTACTACTCTGATGTCGTAAGTGCATTATTTACACACGAAATGCAAATTTTATTTAAACAATAAAGCATGTTTTTCGTTCTAAGGCAAAATTACACATTCGAAACATGGAAGCCGCAAATTCAGCAGCAGCCTCAGCCATTCTCGCAGCTCAAACTGGTGTGCTCGACGTCAAAAACACCATCGATTTACACTATTTACATGTCTCCGAAGCGAAAGTGGTCTTGCAGATTTTCCTGGATCGTCAGCTAAGCCAATTGTCTCCTGGTGGGCGTAAAATTATTTTTATTATAACAGGAAGGGGATTAAGAAGCGTTAATGGTCAGAGTAAAATCAAGCCTGCCATCGCCAAAGAATTAAATCACAAAAGGTTTAGGTGAGTAATCTTTAATTAATATCGTACTGTTGTGTAATAGTAAAATAAGATTTTATTTTATTGAAACATTGATTACTATAGAACTATTTTCGTATGTTTCAGATTCACAGAAGTAAATCCTGGTATGTTAAAAGTGGTTCTAAAGAAGAAGTGATTACCATCGTTAAAATAGTTTATTATATTTATAAATTTATTTTATTAATTGACAAAAGCAATGCTTGTTTAATGTCATTGCATTAAGGTTATAGCATACTCGACATACTAGTATATTACTTACATTTTTATGTAAATGAAATTTTTATTTAACGGATCACTATTTTATCGATAACACATGATCTTTAGGAATAATTTTGCATCAAAAATAAGGAACGTTTTGCATCAAAAATAAGAATTAATTATTAAATTGTTCGATTTTTAGAACAGAATCGTTTCATTTTCCTGTGTTAGTTGTAGTTAAGACCTCCTGGTCGATGGTCTGCCTTTTTTATAGTCGCTGATTTTGTTAAATTATTTGTCTAACAAATGGGAATCATTATCAAAAAGTATTACGTAGTTGTTTCTTCAGAAATGTCAATTTTTATGGACTAGGAAAACATTAGGAAAGAAAAACGATTATTACATATTTTAGTTTTATATCAATAGTAATGGAATGAACTCAAATAAAATAAAAGTAAAAAATTTATTTATAAAATTATATAAAAACAAGAGAAATTACACAAAAAAGATTAAAACTTGAGTATTCTATATCCTTAATTCTTACATAATTATTTTAAACACTTCGATTGATTTTATGTCATGTTTTATTCCTCGTTAATTTGCATTGTTAAAATAAACAAGGTGAAGTGATATATATTTATATATATACAAGCACGAAGATAGTTAAACAGTGTCTGCAATACACATTTGTTCTACTTTTTCTCTTTTTAAAACGTAATCAAAGAAGCTGCCTCTAATAGATACATATATATATACTATATATTTTTTATGATCACTGACTGCCATTGACGATTTTTGACCACATTGTTACTCTAATTTTCACTATTCTGACATGAGCATACTACATATTCACTAATTTTGTTCTTTAGACATAATATAGATATATAAGAGTTCATCGAAAATTTTTCTATTACAAAATGTATTGTCATTTTTTTATGTAAAAGATATAAATATATGCGTTTGTACAAAAAAAGAAATAGACTGTAGACAATTTATTTCTCACTGGATTAGTCTCAGTTGATGGCGGCTATCGTCGCGTTTTAGCATCTTTTTTTAATGGTGATATGATGGATGATGGTTTTCTCGACGGCAGACCTAAAATATGAATATCAATTAACTGCAACCACTTGAAGTAAAGCAATGACCCTCTTCGCATATAAAATACTTTGTACAGGATCTTCGAGTATATACGTCGAAGTGACAATTTTCACGTCGGGCTTGACGAAAATCGAAGGCAGCTGATTTTTGCTAAAATACAGCGTCAACGTCACGGCTCTCAAAAAAAAGGAAAAACAAAACAAAACTGTCATTACTTGGCCGCGCGATCCTCGCGCAAGAAGAAACTTCGTCGGGTGGCGGTAGGTCCATTCTCGTCATGCGACTGCTTTCTCAGTTCTGGATTGAGACGCTAACGAATGAAGATTAATTTACCAGAGTCGAAGTGCTGCGGTTCCGAATGGCGAATGCTCACATTGTTCGGGCGCTTTTTGAGGAAATAGCGTCCAACGTGCGTCTGTCTCAGCTCATCGAGTCGCGCCGGCATTCTGGCATTCGGAGTCGATTCAACTATCCGCGCCGCGTTCACCAACTGCAAACAACCGCATGAGATGTTAATTGCATTTTAAAAGTCGAGTGGTAACGAAGCTTGACGGTACTTGAAATCTACGCTGCTCCAGATACGTCAGGACCGATGGACTTCGCCATTGCGGTTCGCTGCCGGGTATTACCGAGCTTCTCGTTTGCTTTACCGCCTCTCTCATCCTGAATCACCGCGAATTAACGTCGAATCGCGGCCGTCGATAGTAAAAAAGCAAAACCATTCGCACCTCAAGTCGGCAAAGTAACGGTGAGAGAGCAATGCTGCGGCAGCGGCTCTGTTCTCGGGATCGTAAACCAGCATCATCTGCAAGGCTTCGAGACCAGAGCTCGACAGCCTGGGCAGCAGGACGACCAGTCCGCGGCCCTCGCGCATCGGAAAGTACAACTCGCCGTTGCGCCTCCTCGTGCTAAACTCGGATTCGGCCGTCGCTATCGGCGGGCAAGTGACGTTGCGGTCTTCGTCGGATACTCACATTCGTCGAAACTTGGCGATGAGCCGCGGGTGCGGAGTGCCGAGGACACAGTGGATCTTGGAGATCTGATCGATTTCGTTCTCGCCGGGAAACAGCGGCTCCAAGCTGCGCGCGCGGCCGGTTTTACAGTGTCGCGCTTCCACGCGGACATACCCGAGGATTGAAAAGCTGGCTCACGTTAGCAGCTCGTAAAAGACGCAGCCGGCAGCCCAGACGTCCATCTTCGGCCCGTAGAAGCCGCCCGTGAGGAGGCACTCGGGCGAGCGGTACCAGCGCGTCGATATGTACTCGGTGTAGGGCGGCCGGCCGTTGGGGCTGCGTACCGAGCCGAGGTCGCCGATCTTGAGGGTGGTGCCCTGGCGTGCATCCGGAGTGTCAGGGAGAGAAGCGGGCCGGCGCCGAATGTCGCGCGCCTTACCTTCAGCAGGATGTTCTCGGGCTTGATGTCCCGATGGAAAAGGCCGTGCTTGTGCAGATGCGCGATGCCTCTGAGCAGTTGGTACACGTAGTTCTTCACGCGGGCCTCCACTATCGGACGCCTGTCGAGCGCGCGCGCGCGCAAAATCACTCATTGTCGCGGGAAAACGAGAGGCTTCTCATACCCCTTCCGATCGCGCATCAGGTCGTAGAGGCTCATGTCCATCAGCTCGAACACGAGGGTCACTCGTCCAGGCAGCATCTCACTGTTGGTCGGATCGAGCGCACGAGCAACGATGCGACGCGATTTGCCGGCGGTCTGTTCCTACTCACTGGTACGTCTCGAGCATGCACAGAACGTTCGGGTGTCGTGCGATCTTCCGCATGGCCGTCACCTCGGCCGACTCCAGAATCTCGCCCACGCTGAAACGGAAGCGCGCGGTCGGGCCTCCGAGCGAGCGTTCGCGCCTCGCCTAGACCTACCTCGTGTAGATCTTCTTCAGGCGTTTCGCGGCGTACAGCGCGCCGCTCTGCCGTTCCTCGCATCTCAACACCTCGGAGAACGAGCCCTCGCCGATCTTGTCCAACACTTTGTACTCTGCGAGCGACAACAAATTTTTTTCCCCCGACACTCGTTACCGCGCGACCGAGGCTAAGATCGGTCCTATACTGACTGGCGTGAAAGGAAGCGCACATGGTCAGCGAGCAGCCCCCGAGGATCGCGTCATGGCTAGGAATCTCCGCAACTCCAACCAAAGAAAGCTGCGAATCCGAGTGTGCGCGCGCGCACTCCCTCGTGAAGGCACACAGCGAGGGAAGAAAACAACAGCCAAGCGTCGAGGTGCGTCAACGCCGCGACTTACGGCGCGGTCGCGTTTTTGTTTCTCGCGCGCGCACACCGAAGCATCGGCGATGCTCGGCAGCGCAGCATCGTGGATCGTCGGAGCGCTGCGTTTTTTTCTTTTTTTTTTCAGCGTGTCGTTCCGTTTACACGAATCGTCGAGTCCGCACACATATATATGTTTGCTCGATACATCCGTCGGAGCGTTCTGCCGCGCACCGCGTGTTTGTTCATTTTCGGAAAATCGGCTTGCCGCGCAGTGCGCACCATCTCGCGGAAAACCGTGCTTTCCAATTAATATAATAAACCAACATTTCCCGATGCGACGTGCGCATTCGTAAAAATCGTCCTTTTTCAATGATTAAAGCGGCGAACTATCAATTATCTAACTGTGCCGTGTCGTCTATACCACGGAAATTCTTTTTTTATCGCGCTTAACAAGAATTTGCGCCGAAAGAGAAGCGACAACTTTCGTTTAAAATCAAGCTTTATACGATCCGACGAGTTCTGCGTTCGCGAAATTCGATGTTTTCATTGGTCGCGGCGAAAGTTTTGAAAAATCCGCGTGCATCGAGAGATTCGATTTCCGAGACAACGAAAATTCTCGCGATATACAGCTGCTTGCAAATTTAGTTGCCGCGCCGCTGCTGATCATCAAAACCAACTCAGAAGCGAAGCCCCGAAGCGACAGCGTAACGGTTGAAATCAGCCAAGAGCACTTGGAAATCGGAGCGCTGGTCGGCAAAAGTGATTACGTTAGCCTGCAGATAACATCGCGTAAAAGCTGGCCGTCGCGTTTCGCCATTTCCAGCCGATGCTGCCGCCGCGGATAAGCGCGCGATATTCGCGGCGCGCCTCTCGAGGCGAGCTCTCCCCGCCACCCCTCCAGTATTTCCGTCCGACGCAACTTCGGAAAACTAATCAAGCCGCGAACGGGAGGGCGAAGAAGCTGCGCGAAAATTTTCAAAGGGCGCACCGTGCAAGTCTTTCGACGCGTCGCCGCCTGCGTGCGCGCGTATCACGTTTCTCCTGCGCGCGAGCACGGGCGTTTCTAATATGATTCGGCGGCAGGCAAAAGTTGAAACTCAATTTGGCGCGCGCGCGAGGACGTGACTTTTTTTTTCAATTTCTCTTTTTTTTTTCGTTATTTTTTTTTGTTCCGCGGCATCTGGCTTCGCCGCGCTCGTCGCGATTAGCCGATTCGCCGAGAGAGCTTCGTTCCGATTAGGTGGAAGCCTCGCAAAATGAAAATTTACAAGCGCCGACGAGTATTACGACGCGCGGGTCAATTACCGAACGGTGGCTTCTAAACTCGTAATTGCACAGCAGAGTCGCGCTCGGCTGTCGTCGGGACGAAGGGAGTTGGAGGGGAATACTTCGCCGGGCCAATTGGTTGGTGATTTAAACGGTCGGAACATTGTTTTTGAGAACGAATGGCTCGTTGGTCTGGCCCGAAAAGGCATTAATTCGTCGTTTTCTTGGAGGAGTGCCCAGAGGGGGCTGCTCGCGGCGCGCGCTCTATCGCCGCGACCGCATGCCCGAGTTAGCTCGATCCGGTCGCGCGCGGGTGCGTCGTTTCATCGCCCCCCCCCCCTGCCCCTCCCCCGGCCACTCAGCGCCGGAGAAAAATTAATGCCCCGATCCTCCTTTCATTGCGAGATTAATGGAGGGCGAGTTGGCCTCGAGCGAGATCGACGTCGACTTGCCCGCAGCGTAGTGGCGCCTCCCCTCTTGGCAATTTGTCTCGCTCGCTCGGCCCCCTCGTCGATACACGCGTCGAGCTCGGACGCGCGTTCGCCCTTTGCTCCTCGGCCACGAAAAACGGCGCAGAGCAATTATCATCGGGGACGACGCCGCGCTCGCGAGCGTTGCGCAAATCCCCGGAATGACATTTGGCGATTGTCGCGCGCGTCCTCGTGTCCGGCTGCGCCCTCGTCGCAGCATCGACGCGTCCTCGTTAACGGCTCCGCCCTCGCCAGCGCTTGTCAAATTGGCCCGGCGTCTGTTTTTTCCCGGGTCTTTCCTTTTCCTCCGCGCACGGGTTCGCTGATGAGAGCGGCGAACTTGCGAGCACGTTGCCGCTTTTTACGGCGCGCGGAATGGAGAGCGCCGCTCTAATGAATCGATCAGCGGTGGAGCGAGTGTCGGGCTAACGAGCATAACAATCGCGCCTATGTGTGCGCGAGGGCAAGGAAAGTAACGCGCGTTAGTTGAGTTAAAATTACGCTAAAATGACTTCCCTTTGGCTTGGCACCGAGAGAGAAGTTAAGAGCTTTGTTCTAGCCGGTATATACCTACAGAGAGGAAAGTTGGGCTTTAAAGCCAAGAGCGAGCGCTTCATTTCGCAATTACGCATTCAGCAGCCTTTCGTGTACATCTATATATGTATATTCGCGTCTCCGCCAGCGGGGCTGTGGTTGCGTTGCCGACTACTCTCGCGCGAGCCCTTATCGTTGAGCGCGGGACCGAGGCGAAACGTTTCCCCATTGGAAGAATCAATCTACGACGCGCGGCAAGAAGACCGAGCAGCGCTGGTACGCACGACGCGGGTGGAAATGGCGGAAGGGGTTGCTTGGCGCGTTTCGATCAACTCCTTCTCTCCCGCGAGCGCTGTCTTCTTTTTCCGGGGCGCCCCTCCCCCCGTCGGCTATCGCGTCAGCCACCACGATGACGAGTGCGCCGCGAGCTCGGCTGTGTGTATCCGCGCGTCCAAATTTCGCTGAATCACTCGGCGCATTAGCGGCGTCGAGCCCCACCCGCCGACCCAACAATGCCGACACGCGCGCGCGCGCGCTACAAGGGTCGGAGGGGGGCGAATGGAAAAGCGATGAAAGTGTAATCCATGACGAACGACATCGCGCCGAATAATCCCCTTGCGCCCGCCGCGCTTTACATATACATGCTAGCGCGTGCCGACACTTCATACAACGCGCCTCTTGCGGAATTGCCGCTGCTCATCCTCGCGAAAGTGTCGCGCCCACTTGGTACGCGATCGTCAAACTGATCGATCGACTGATACGCGCGCGCAAAGCTTTCTTTTCGAATCTCGAGTATATCATCTCTCGCCCTTTCTCTCATCCCGGATAATCGGGGAAAAAGCTGTAATTGCCCAGGTTAAATGAAAAGCCGCAACGGTTAAGTGGCAAATTGAACGCGGCTTCGCAGGATTTTAATTACATCCGAAACGCGCGCGCACGGCTAATTAAATGCAACGAGCGCGCGGTTTAAAGCTGTGTATCGAAAAGTAGTACACACGATAGAGAGAAAGAGAGAGAGAGAGAGAGAGAGAGAGAGAGAGAGAGAGAAAAGAAAAAAAGAGGAACGCGAGGACGGAACAATAGCGCTTTTGTGCGTCGGACTTGGCTCCGCGTGCGCCGCGAATGTAACGAGACAGGGAGGATATTTTCAAGTCTCTCTTGCGCTTGTTATCGCGTTCGCCGCTCGCGAACTCGCCGATATTCCAAATGACGAGCTTCGCCTCGCAGGAAAGCACAAAAACTCCCTGTTCGCGCGCCCGGGACGGGGCGATCTCTCGCTCGCCCGACTTGGCGGCTATAGGCGCATCGATTAGAGAATTGCAACGTGCGAGCCGTTAATTTGCCGCCCGCGGCCGGTAAAAGTCACGCCGGGCAGTATATTGAACGCGGGGATCGATGCGGCTGCATTCGTGAAAAAAGAAGAATATAAATAAAGAAAACGCCTCTTTTTGGGCGGTTCGGTGGTTCTGGCGCAGCTCTTCCGTTCGTGAATGACTACTTTTCAGCTCTTTAACGACGAGCGAGCGCAGATAAAGGGGAACTCGCGAGCTTTTGGTTCGAAGCTACTGCGAGCTAGTCGTTATCTCTCTCTCTCTCTCTCCCTCCCTCTCTTGACGAACGTGTATCGCGAAACAAAGTTTATTCCGAATCGCGACACACAGGCTAGGCAGGGAGACAACGGTTTATACGTAGGAATTAATCCGCGTTTGCTACTCTAACAACGCGAAGCCACTTTACCTGCCGCCAAATGCAACTTGTTATATTGTTACGCTCTGCTGCGCTTCACACGATCTTTCCTTATTGTCCTTTGGCGGCTTTTTTTATTTTGGTTTTGGCGTGCTTTGCGCGCGTCGCACGTCGCTAAACTTTTTTAATTAATATCGGCCGTCCTTTTTTTATTTTTCCCTTTCAAGTTCGACTCCATCTACTTTGAGAGGGACTGTAATTTAAAGCAGCATGTTACTTCAATTACTTTACCTGGCTGTAATAGGACCTCCCTTTTGTTGTTCAGCAGCGGGGCCAGGCCGGCAAATGTGCGCCGGAATGGGTCAACTCGAATTTTTTTTTCCCCCGTCAAGCCACGCTGAGCAGCAATAAAATTGCATTCGCTGCGAGTCAAGACGAATAAAATTGCAATTAACAGCGTTTGATGAACACGGAAAGTCCAATTTTATTTTCGCATGTCAATCTGCGCGTACAACTAGCGTTATATTTACATGAAATAATCATAATAATGATAATAATAATGGTAATAATAATGATAAGAGCAATATAACAGCGTTTTCACATAAATATCTCGCATACAAACAATTATGCAATTAATCAACGCGCGCACTATGTGTGCGTCTTTCCTCCGCTTACAATTTACGCGGTGTCAGGCGCAATTTCACCAACACAATTCGTTCTACATTAAATTCTAGCAATAAAAACACTCGCGGCGCCGTGTACCGAAGTTACAACCGAAGTTACAACGAACAATCGGCCAGTTTGGCCTTAATC